TCAGGATACTGTTAGCCTACCTGTTATCCTAATATGGCATTTTAAAATATAACACAATCCACGCCATTCATATCACATTGTTCTCTCTCAATTGGGGATTCCATTTCTGGAAGCTTTTACATTTTCTTGTGCCAGATTACTAAGTATATGTTTAAGAATGGAGGGTGGCCCAGTTCAGTCCTCAAAGGACCCCGTGTTGGTCAAAAATTGGCACCCAAAATAAGCTGACTAGTGGCACTCTCCCAGTGAACATTTTGGTTGGGGTAATCATGTTCACTAAGCCATTTACTCAACCAACATGTCTGAAAGACACAGAGGGGCTAGTTCATTGGTCTAGTCTATACCTCTCATCAAATCAGTTTTTTCAGTTACTAGACAGCTGAGTTCATTCTGAACATTTTCTGCTCTATCTTTCTGTATTTATCACCTCCTGATCAATTCTAGGGGTATTCAAAGAGATGAAAGAATTCTTGTTTGTTGCCTTTCTTAGCTGAAATGAAAACTTCATTAGCTAGGAAGAGATCTCAATGTAAGAAATAATGTTGGGATCTTATTTCTCATTTCATTTTCTCCAGCTGTTTTTTTGTTTGTTTTTTTTAAGACTTTGATAGCTCGTCCAGCTCACACCATCATTAATCTTTGTGTGTCTGTGCGTAGGGGTAGTGGTCATTTTTTAGTCTTACGAACTGATTTAAAGACCTAAAGAAATGATATCCAACTTGAAACTCATGTACAGAATTATTAATGTAATACACTTTTAATTCAACATCACAATTTAATAAAGTCCATCTACAAAAAAGTACCTTTTGGAAGAATGAAAGTAAAGATTCCCTATCATTATCCGTATAACCAGCCTGTTCAGCAAGATATCTAATCCTTTGTGCAATAGAGTCCAGCTCCTCATTTTCAAACAAGTCAGGTATTTTTCCTGAATTGAAAATGCAGTTCAAATCTTCCAAAAATCTCTCCTTAGGTGAAACATATAATTAGTCAGGAATGAGTAAATTATTCATATATTCTAGTCTAAACACACCAAACTGAACAAGAAATAGTGATTAAGGAGAACAGAGACTAATTGTTTAAAATGCTAACATTCTCTTAATTCAAAACCATCAATTTTTTTTTCTCAGTCAAAATAAACTTCATTCAAACATTAGACAACATCTACTTAGTATGACAGTATGCCAACCGCTGTACTAGGCACTGGGAAAGAGGTATGGATAGGTCGCTACAATAATGAATTGGGCAGAGAAGTCCTCTTGTTTTCAAGCAGTTCACAAAAGTCCTCAACACACTACTTTTGTGTTTGTATAGTAAACAAAGTAGAAATAACACGGCTGAAGGATTATTTTAATTTAACCAAGTTCATCTCCATAAAAGGTTCTAGTTCTAATGGGAAATGTGACAGAGCAGCAGCCAAACAAACTCTACCAGAGGAGTTATTAAAAAGTATGAGCCTCTTGCTTTTGAGAGTAAATCCAGGCTTTCCTTTAAAAAAAAAA